ACGGCATTACCTTACTTTTTGAAATAGTCAAGAAACATTTTACTCCAATAATTCCACATATAATTCAATTTTTTTATGAATTCACTACTCATCTAAAATATAACATAAAACACAAACAATATCCAGGGTATTATACTAAATAAGTCACCTATCAGAACTTACCACATTACCTAAATGAACGTATTAAATTTGTATTTAATAAGGTACTTATGCAAATACGCACTTGATAAATTGATCGAGTGAAAAGTGATGATTCGCCAGTAAACTGTTTTCACAACCGAACGAAGCGATATGTTAATGAAGCACTAAATGATGTTGTAATATATTCACATGCAGTGTGAAGAAGGAACAGTGTTTTAAACATTTTTAGCCCTGTTTTCATGGATTTTTCGTTAGCATTTGTTAGTTTAAAATACAAACCGTAAAGGAGGGAAGAAGAGGTCTAAAATGCACCTGACCCTCCCAGGTTGCGACCAAAATACCAATCCAGACCAGCTTCTCAGCTCCTTCCTTGTACACAAATAAATGGATTTAACGCATTTTTGTAATGGCAATTTTTAGGTTTTAACAGAAAAAATAACATCTTTTTCTTGTTTGCTCAAAACCTGTGAATAGTATTTCGTGTTCTAATAGTTATAATGAAACCAATATATAATTAACGATTTTCAGTGTAAAATTAACTGTATAGTAAATTTGTTTTAAAGAAACAATTGAGGAAGTAATTTCAACAGATTTTTAAGATCATATAACAGTATTAAACACAATTCTCCCCTGGTGGCTTAGCAGTAAATCTAAGGGCTTATAACGCTAAAATCGGTTTTAGAAACTCGCATGGTTACATCAAATATAGTCCATTACGTAGTTATGCGTTTAACAACGGCGCACTGTGCTTTGGCCGTCGCTAGTATAAAAACCCATTTTTTTAGCGTTATAGCCCACCAGTTTTACTGATGAGCCACCGGAAGGAGAAGGGGGGAGCATTTTTTATTTACAAATAAACATATCTGATGTGCTTGGTATTTCGGTTTAAATGACACATCTTACTAGGTTTAACATTTTGCAATTGCAATACTTTTTATCGTAATGACAATCAGAACAATATTATCAATGAAAATATAAATATATACAGATGCTATAACGGCCAAAGATTCCCAGTTTGCCACTGATGAAGAAAGGTCCACCTTTATAAAGCGCTCAAGTTATATTGTTTCATATTGTTGTCCTTAAGATCAAGGAGTCCATAGTTTTTCAATCAAATTTATTCGTTCATCAGAAAATCACCATATGTATATTGTTTGCTTCTTCAATTATGTCTAATGATTATTTAAGTATACTATGAAGAGATACAAAGAACTGATCACATTTTACAAGAACAGTTTTCATATGGCAGATGCGATCTGTGGCGCCATGTTTAACATCTACTTGGTTTACAATGAACTCCAGACAATTCAACATGCACTACCACCATAGTTTACTTATAACTGAAGAATGTAATTTCTCCTTCCGATGATGTAGAGCCAAAACACACATTTACTAGAAGAAACTTTCACTGTTTTCCATGAAAATATGTAAGCTGCATAGCAGAGCTTTTACAATAGCAAAGGCACCTAAAGCCACACCTCAAGCCAATTTGGAGAAACTCCCTAATCTCCAAAATGAAGATTATGTTGCCAAAGGGAATCCTTTAACAACAAAACAAACCAAAAAACTATTAACACGAAAATAAACCGAAAATGAATTTTATCAAAGTTTTCAAACTCCCAGCAACACCCCAAAATCAACGGATGTTCATGAAAAAATGGTTGAAGAAAATGGGATCATAGAAAATCTATTCAATCATACCTGTCAAGTCACTCAATGCTACTTCAATTGATTCTTTCTATGGCGTGTTGTTGCTGATATGAATCATGACGCCACAGTCGACACGTTTGGTTCAGAACGAATTCTTGCCTATTTCAAAGCGCAATGCTGCCATGAAAATGAGACTTATAGCTAGGAGAGTTTGTCACAACTCTTTCTGAGCAAGGATTTCTCCTACACCAAAATATTATAGAGAACAAAGACCAGGACACATCAATTTCAAGAACTACTATCAATAATATGCTGAACAGCATACGTAACGACAGATCACTTCACTTATACTCCAATGTAAAACAACCTAGACAGTATCCATAACACATGCAAAATTGCTGCTCTCATTACCAACTAAGCAGAATGATCGTAAAGGAATCCCTCCCCGAATATTATGTTGCTAACAGATGTCACGTATCCCAATTAACTCTACACAAGATATGTACAAAAATCTTCCCTTTGTAAAGATGCATTAGGCACGAGTGCATAAGCTGCTCCCCAAAAACATTGATGAGAAAAATATAAGCTGTAGAAAACTGTGAAAAATACATAGTACATCAGAGGTGAAAGTTGGTTGCAAAAATAGGACATAATTTGGGTGTAATTGAATGAGTGGAAGAATAAACTGGCGATTTGTTACTGACCACGAGATGATAAGGACTTTGCAATATAGTACAGAGAATTTAAAAAGGTTCTTCTTAGGGCTTTACAGTTGTCACATATTAGTCATGTAACAGGAAATGTAAACTTCATGAACGTGTACTCTGTTCACTATCCACAGAATGTATTGACACCAGTTTTGTGACATGAAGGTTCCTACACTGTATGACCAGGAGGACCCTGAGAGACCAGCATCAAGTCTTACGTCTATATCTACAGCATCGTTTTTACAGACTATGGAGAATGAAGTTGTAGTTTATGCTCTCCACTTTTCCGACATACCTATGAAGTTGCCTGACTTTGCACTCTCAGACTTTCATAAATATAGTATTGGAAGTACATGTTTAAGTACAGTAGAAAGTTTGTCAAGCTTATGTTGCAGTCCGGAAGTACAGATCTATGTATAGTGGAAAAAATTTGTCAAGCTTATGCTACAGTCTGGAAGCACAGGTCTATGCATGGTGGAAAAAGTTTGTCAGGCTTATGTTGCAGTCTCGAATCAAAGGTGTACATATAGTGGAAAGTTTGTTAAACTTGTGGTATGTTGTCTTGGAAACATGGGTCTACATAAAAAGTTTGTTAGACTTATGTTGCTGTCTTGAATCAAAGGTCTACATACAGTGGAAAGTTTGTCAAAGTTGTGTTATGTTGTCTTGGAAACATAGGTCTACATAAAAAGTTTGTTAAACTTATGTTGCTGTCTCGAATCAAAGGTCTACATACAGTGGAAAGTTTGTCAAACTTGTGTTATGTTGTCTTGGAAACATAGGTCTACATAAAAAGTTTGTTAAACTTATGTTGCTTTCTCGAATCAAAGGTCTACATACAGTGGAAAGTTTGTCAAGCTTACGTTGCAATCTGGAAGCACAAGTCTACGTATAGTGGGAAAGTTGTCAAACTTGCGTTGCAGCATGGAAGCACAGGTCTATGTAGAGTGGAAAGTTTGTCAAGCATATGTTGCAATCTGGAAGCACAAGTCTACGTATAGTGGGAAAAGTTGTCAAACTTGCGTTGCAGCATGGAAGCACAGGTCTATGTAGAGTGGAAAGTTTGTCAAGCATATGTTGCAATCTGGAAGCACAAGTCTACATATAGTGGATCATTTTGTCAAGCTTACGTGGTCTTAGATTTGTCTTGTCATCTTTGACAGAAGCATGTTACAATGGTTTGTTTGTTTTTAAGCACAAAGATACACAATGAGGTATTTTTACTGTTACAATGGAAACTGTGATGTCGGGCTTCAAAAACAATGGAAAACCTAGAAACATCATTCTTGTAAACTGATTCATCCTCTTGCAGTGGTGGTGCTCAGTCAATATGTGCCACTACAGAGTGTTATTAAAAATATCACTTGAAAGTTCTTTAAAAAATCTATACTGTATGGGAAACTGGCGTACAACTTTAACTACAAATTTGAGCATTTTAAAGACTCATGTTTTACACATTTGCAAAGTTATGTGACAGCTTCATGTGTTATTCAATTGAAACACAAGAATTGAATACATACATAAAAATTATTTATATAACAAATTTAATAAACTTTCAATTTGAATTTTGAGCTTCAACTAATAAGCACATATAAGTTAATTTTTCAAGGTTCACACATACAAACACATCATAAATTAATAACAAATTAACAACATAAGCTTAAAGCACTACGTTAGTGAGATAAACATTCTAGCATAAGAAGCTACAAATATGCAACAACTCATGCCAGTCAGAGTTTATAAGGTAGATTGTAATTATAGCTTATTTACTAGATGTTTAGAAGCTGAAGTTTGCATGAAAATCTCAATTAAATAAATATTAGTTTTTACGTAATTACAAAAAACAACTTTATATAGACATATGTACATATAAAGACTAGTTTCTTGTAGAGCTGAGAGATTAGTGAAATTTGCTAATGAATGAATTGTCAATCTACTTAACCAGTTACATTCAACTAATCAATTATTCTCAAATGAGGCTTAGGTAATTGGAAAAATCCAGAACATTAATATTTTCGTGAGCCATGATACAAGTTGAACAATCTTTCATTAAACAAAAGCAATATTTCTATTACTTGGACAGTTGGAATAATCAAAAATAGTAATAACTGGAAACATTACCTTTGATTAGATGATTACTTTCATGGCATTATTTAATTTCATAATAAGTTTCAAATGATTATTTTCAGTGACACTACTTGATGTAATGGATGCTTAGGTAATTGATTAATCAAGTTAATTGGTGATCTCTAGTTTCTTGTTAATCAGAACTCTGCAGTAACAATGTCAGGAAAACTACTGGGTCTTAAAGAACTGTCTGTGACTCCAGCTGGTGTAAATATTCAATACTAAGATAAAAATAGAAGAATGACCAAAATTTTGTGCAATATGTGTGTCTGTGTGTGTGTGTGGTAACACATTAATAATCATTTACTTTTTCAAAATGCATTCTTTCACTAAAAATGTTAAAACTTTTACACAGAAACAAAAGCAAAATAACTATTCTGTTTATAAAGTGAAATTTATTACATTATATTCGTTGGTTTAGGCTACAACTACGTCCTTGTGAAGAATTCCTTATTCACTTAAAATATTCATTTTAACACTAACCCTTCTGAATATATTGTAATGTAACTTTCAACACTAGAGATTTAAATTCAAGATAGTTGTTTTTAACAACTGAAATGTTTTATATATATATCTCTTTCCTGAAAGTAAATCATATATATAGTGTTAATTTCAATTTCAAATAAACTATGCATTTGGGTATGTCAATTACTACATAACGCTTTCCATTCAAAATACTGAAAAGAATACCGATAAATAATTTTTAATAATTATATCAATAATTGAATGTTGTTCACAAATGTTGCAAAGTATTATACACATGGGATAAAATAAAAGCTTTTTTTCATATTGTCAAGAACATTAAAGGAACCATAAAGAAGGCAACTAGCATTGTACAGTTGAATGTGTAGTTTAAACTGGAAATTATAAATATATAAATATATATATATATTATTCCTATGACACGTACACAATACACATGTATGAATTACATACACTGTCATGATTTACAATATCCTTTTGTATTAGTTTTATTGCATGTTCAAAATGTACAATTATCATAAGTGGTAAGCATAACACAAACCACACATGCACAACACATTTACCAAAACCATTTTAAAATCTGACTTTCTTTCTTTTTTACGTTTACCTGGGTATTGGAATATCTTTACTACTGGTAGCAACTGTAAAAATATTCAAACCAAGTGACATAGTTTGAATAAACATTTGTTTTTAAACTTACTATTAATTATTGGGATTAATACTATTGTTGAATGTTAAACTTCTCAGAACAATAAATTTTAATATTTCTTTGGTTTTAAATCTACATGAATGTTACAAGAATATGTTTGCCATTACTGATAACCAGATATAAAACAATTCATGCATATTGACGAGGTGTGCATGTATCTTTTATTTTTTTTAACCTAAGTGTTGAGATTATATAATCACCATCTGTTGTAAATGTTTAAATGAGATACACTGACATATTTTAAAGCTCTATATTTTCCTGATAGTTATAAATTACAATTAATATTATTGGTTAACTTTGAGGTAAAATAAACAATGCACCTGGGTATGTCAATGATTACAATATTGCTTTATTCTATTTAAAATATTAAGAATGCTGATGAGTTTTCAGATCTACCAAGAATACAAGAAAATAACAGTATACAGAAAAAAATGTATGCCTACATAAAATTCGGTTACAAGAATCAACCAAAAATAATAAAACTAGCACATTCATCTTTATGGTAAAATAATTACATACATTATCTGGAAATAAAATGAAATGCCTTTTATCAGAAATGAACTAGTGCAACAGGAACATTACATCATAATCAACCATCCAAACAGCATTTCAGAAAATATTCAGAGGAATAATGTTTTTACAAATATTATTGATCTTGAAATTATTGAAAGCAAGCAATATCTGTCTTAACTTACCCCCCCCCCAAAAAAAACGGATTCATTAGCAGATGAACTGATGAACTTTCTCTTTACTGTATTTACCCATAAATCAAAATTTCTATCTGCAACTAACTACTAGGCATTATTCTTTGCAACATTGAATAACAACATATACTAAGGCACTACATAAATACTCAAAAAGGTTTTATATCTTCTTAAATTTACAATAAAACATATATATAGATATATATATATATACTTTATTTTATTTTTAAAAATTTAATAGTTTAAGCTACTAATTTTACATTCCTAATGAATTAGAACATTGATATTTAAACTGTGAACAACAATTAACATCTTCAGAGCAATGACAATTTTGCATGTAGATGAATCTACTGTGGTATCCCATACTAAGATCAGATAAACAGCCCACAATGCAGTCTTTTCAAGAAATTCATCTGAAATGTCTTCATTAATGCATATGAATTTAATTTTACTATTCCATTCTAGTTTCAGCTAAAGGGAGCTTGATGTTAACTAAGTATTGCTGGTTTTATATCAAACCAGTACGAAGCTAATTCAAAACATCATGTGGTCGTTTTAACTGAAACCAGTCAAAAATCAATTTAATAAATTATGCTGATTTTTAAATGAAAATGGCCATGTTAATTTCAGAGATATGTAGATTTTATTAATCTGAATTTAAAGTAATAATTTAGGCCACTCTTATTAATGGAAACTAGTCTAATTTTGAGTCAAGTTAGTAGATCAGGCTGTTTTCAGCACAGTATGATCAGATATTAACTTGAAAATCATAATAGTTTTAACTGAAGTGACATAACAGGCCATTACACAAGTCATTTTATGCACTGTAAAAACAAAACAGAATAATTCAGAGTTTAAGCAAGTTATAGCTGATGCCCCAAAAAAGGTAAATACTTCTGTGCTTTAAGAAAATACAAATGACAATAGGAAAAAAATGTAGCTCTTTTTTGTTTTCCTCTAAAATATATTATTTGCAGGAAAAATTCAAGAGAAATTAGCGCTTGCTTTATATAGTGCTTATTCCTATTCACTGGAACTACTGCTACTGCTGCTGCTGCTGCTGCTACTACTACTGCTGCTTTTTCCATGCCAACCTTTCTTATGTTTATGTTTGTAGAGTTTCTTGAGCTTCTTGTGTTTCATCTGAAAAGTTCAGAATACAAGTTAATGGGCATCAAAGTATAGTTCAGTACCAAATGAGTGACTGTACATTCAGTATATAGACATACACAATAAGTTAACCAGACTGGTTGTAGATTGATATAACATCCAGAGGAAAAACAGCATAGCCAAGTTCTGCAAGTTCATAAAAATATTTAAAGATATAAAGCAATGATTCTGTAGAACAAGCTCACTTACATTTTAGTAGTAATGTATATGCTGACTAAGTGAGTTCAACTTGCATTTTAGTAGTAATGTATATGCTGATTG